TTTGTACATTTTTTTTTTTGTCTCAATTGTAATCCCCGTGGGTTTCCCATCACCAAGTCACCCATGTGCCATTACCATAGAGGGATTCTTAAGGTTTAGTGTTAAGCTGTATTTTCCCCTTAGTGTTTTCTCCTTTAGCATGCCTCATTGTGTTGTAAGTTATTTATACACTTATAGCACTTAATAGATTGTTTTCTAGAGATCACTACTTACTCATCTCCACTTAATGTCTCAGACACAGCTCACAGAGGTATTTCTTCTCAGAAATGCTGGAGTTGTCATTTTCAGTGGTGAATGCCAACATAATGACTTACGTTGACCAAACTAGAACCAGAGGGAGTATTTGTGAACATATGTCTCTCACTTTGTATATTAATCCATCACTAAGTCTTATAAATTTGTCATCTTTTTTTTAAGATTTTTACTTATTTATGCATGCAGAACTGGGATACAGACCAGAGGTGCAGGCTCTGTGAGAGAATTCACCAGAGACAGGGGAGCAAAACAGGCAGATCAAGAAGTACACTCCTGAGGGGAGCATTGAGCAGGTCAGGAGAGGTCTGAGATCTGTGACTCCAAGTGGATCACCTCCAGGGTGGAGGATCGAACTCACACTGAAACAGTGCTGTGCTTTAACCCGTTGCATCAGCAGGGAGGGCCCGGCCCCTCTTTCCTCCTTTTTAAGGCTTTATATTCAATGTTCTTTTTTATCTTCTGTTATTAAATACTACCCTGCAGAAGTCTGTAGCCATTCTCTGTTCCCCTTCCTCTCCCTGGTAGGGGAGTTAATTTTATTTCTAAGAGATGAAGAAGGTTTTCCCTCCTCTTAATTCTTAGTTCAGTAACTTTTCTAGGATTTATATGTTGGTGTTGCTAATTCTGTATCAGTTTTTCAAGGAACATTGTGAATTTTGGCTTTATCTTCATTCACTTATTTGAATTTTTTTTTTTTGTTCGATTACCCTTGGTTCTCTAATTCAGGTATACCACTTATTTGTTCCATTATCTGCCTCTCTCATATTTGTTATTTTTTCCCTAATTAAAATAAAAACTTGTTTATTTCCATTTCATATGTTTGGTGAGGTATGGTTCACATATATAAGATCCAGAAAGGGCATAGAACAGTGGTAAGGAAAAATAAAAATAAAAAATTAGCCCTTTTGCTTTGCGTAATTTAGTGGCTTTTAGTTTTATTAGCATTGTTGTATAATCACCACTCTTGAGTTCATTTCAGTTTGCGTGCTTTTTTTAAGTCTTTTTTCATTGCCTAGTTTTGTCCTTCTTAATGTTACTGAAACAGTAACTTTTCATCATTTGGTAGTTAAGGTAATACCTGTCAGATGTCTTTTCTGCTTTTTTCCTTTGTAATTAATACTTTGTAGAGAAATTCTTTGTGACTATGTAAATAACCTGTTCCTTATCAATCTTCTGCCGACTATTTTCAGCATCCATGATTCTTAAATTGAAACAATTGTGGGCATGATGATTGCCACTTGTGGTTTCCTTAGTCATTTCTACATTGTCATTCTACATAAGTAAGCGCTCTCCTTTTCTCCCATTTATTTATTTAAGTATGGACTCATGTATTGTTCTTTTATTCTATGGACTGTAATGCCTTGCTGATATTCTTCAAATTGTCTCAGGATAATCCAGCAGGGGCTCCTTCAGACTTGTCTGTGTGCTTTGACTTGTCCTCATCTTTTTTTGACCATGTCTTATTTTCTGATAAAGGAACATGTTCCAGGTTCATATTGTACTTTACCTATTTTAAGTTGGAACAGCCATTTATCCAACTATAAATCCAGTTTAATCCTTTTAGTGGAGATTGATGTTTGGAAACCAAGATCTGGAATACTATGGTAGTATCATTGCTTCTAAGCACTTATTCTGTCTCCTAGATTCATTCTCTTTCTGTATACTGTAGATTAATTATGTCTAAGCATTGCTCTTAATCTCTTCCTCTTTTTTTTTCTATAAATTAACCCCAATGCATTCTTATAGGTCACAAAAAAGTTATATTGAAGTATAGAGTACAGTTTTTATGTAGACAACAACAAAAAATTACTTTCCTAAAAAGCTAATTCTGCCCATCATCACCTTTTTCACAATTGCTTTTACTATTATAGTTGTGTCTTTCTTAAAAATCTTTTTTTAACAGGGTCATGTCATCAAGCCTGCTTATGTATTTTTTAATGGGTATCCCTTAATGTTGCCCATTGTTACTTTTTGCTTAATATCAGTAACAGAAGAATAGAAATAATTAGTTAAGGGTTAAGACTGGAGGATAATGGAAGTGTTTACTGTTTGGTTATTCAGCCTTCAGATTATTATGGTCAGTTCCTTAATTTTATAGATTGAGAAGCAGATCTAAGAACTGAAATGACTTTTAAGTCCATGGCTAGTTGGAGACTCAAATTAGAGTCTGGGTTTCTGAACTTTCATATTGGGGGATAGAGGAGTTAGATCCATGACATCTCTCTGAAGTTTCAGTGGAGCATCACTAGCCAGGTGGAGAGAGCATTCTTCTGTCTTGGGAAACTCACGCACATGGATATTGAGATTTTCAAAATGACGGTTGTTCATTTGATGACCAGGAAGGGTACAGAAAAGAAGATGGAACAGATTAGAAATTTGAGGATAGCCAGCTGTCTGGTTGTGCAACTTTAGGCCAGAATTATGAGCAGACAATTTCAAAGCTTTTCTTATCTTTTTAAAAAAGATTTATTTTTTTATGCATATAAGAATTGGGGTACAGGCAAAAGGTGTAGGAGGTCATGGTGAGAGAATTCACTAGAGACAGAGTGGAGAATGGGGAGTAGAACAGGCAGATATCTTTCATAATTTAGTCCCATCTACTGTTATTTCCACTTTTTTCATAGCCCCAATTATGAATATGACTGGCTGGGTTTCTTTTCAAGGTTTTCAGTTTAGTAGGATTTTAACACCAGTAGTTAAAATATCAATATAATAGTAGTTATATTAGCACACATTTCTTGAAAATTTAATTATCAGTATATCATATGATATATTCCTAGCTTTCTGTATAAGAGAAACAAAAACACAGACATACAGACACTTGTTACTATACCATTGTTCACAGTAGTCAATTGTAGGTATAATCTAAAAATATCCATTATGTGGCTTGGTTAAAAAAATGACACACATGGTTAGCCATACAATGAGTAAACTACAATGTGGATATATATGCGATGGAATATTATTTAGCTATAAAAGGAAATGCAGTACTGATACCTGCTACCCTGCTGATAAACCTCACATATATTGTGCTCAGTGAAAGAATCCAGACACAAAGACCACATACTGCATAATTTCTGCATAGTTATATGAAATGCTCACAGAGGCAAATCTATGGAGATAGGAAAGTATCTTAATGGTTGGCTGAGGGTAGAAAGAGGAATTATAAGTGTGCACGAGGTTTCTTTTTGGGGAAATGATAGTATTCAGAAATTGAATTAGGGTGATGGTTATGGTTGTACAATCCTAAATACTAAGTAACTATTAAATTGTATACCTATAGGTGAATGGTGTATGTTTTTAAAATTTATTACATGTGGGTCCTCCCTGGTGTCACAAGGGGTCAGTGCTACTAAGCTTTCACCAGCCACTACAGCATGAGTTTGATCCCTGGCCAGGGAGCTAGCCCACATGGCGCAGCAGACCTCTCCTGTCTCATCTGCTGCTCCCCTCAGTACTATATTTCAGTACATCTGCCTGTTCTGCCTCCACTCTGTCTCAGGTGAATACTCTTACCCCCGACACCTCTGCCTATACCCCAGTTTCTGTATGCAAAAATAAAAATAAATCTTCAAAAAAATAAAATTTATTACATGTGAATTTTATCAATGTAACTTATGCCCCATAAAACTGCTAAAAATACTTATATTTTAAATTTGATTTTGTAGTATATTCTCTATATTAACCCTGCACTTTCTACTTTTAAGTATTATTCTTTTTTTTTTTTAAAGATTTATTATTATTCATACAGAACTGGGGTACAGGGCGGAGGGTGATAGGATTCACCAGGGACAGAGTGGGGAGCAGAACAGGCAGATTGACGAAGTACACTGCTGAGGGGAGCAGCGGGCGGGTCAGGAGAGGTCTGCCATGCCATGTGGTCACCTCTGGGGCAGGAGGGAATCGAACTCATGCAGAAGTGGCTTTTAGCTTCTTAGTGTGCACCACCAGGGAGGGCCTTAAGTATTATTCTTAAAGAAAGATAATGTCACATGATGTTAATGATAATATATAGTAAAAATAGCCAGTATTTGTAAAATAGTTACTGTGTACTAGATACTAATCTAAGTAACTTTTCACAGATTATCTTACAATAAGATTATGATACTGTGGGCCCTCTCTGGTGGCGCAGCGGGTTAAAGCACAGCACTGAGAAGCTAAAGCCACTTCCGTATGAGTTCGATTCCCGCCTGCCTTGGAGGTGACCACGTGGTGTGGCAGACCTCTCCTGACCCGCCCGCTGCTCCCCTCAGCAGTGTACTTCGTCATCTGCTTGCTCTGCTCCCCACTCTGTCTCTGGTGAAGCCTCTCACCACCCCTGAGCCTCTAGCCTGTACCCCAGTTCTGTATGAACAAATAAATAAATCTTAAATTAAAAAAAAAAAGATTATGATACTGAAATTTATCATCCTTATTCTGCAGCTGAGGAAACAGTCTTACAGATATTTTATAATTTGCTTGGAGTCATATAACTAAGTTAGGATACAATCAAACAGTAGTTGGACCAGCAACACTCTTGTCCCTTAGGTTCCGTGTTTACATCATCTATTGAATGTTTTGGTGGAAACTCTCACTGCCTCAAATGTACTGTTGCTATGTCAGACATCTTTGTGTGTGTGTGAATGTTTTACCTGTGTGTGATTTCTTAGAAGAATCAAGTGGATGTATGGTATTGCCTAACTGCTGTAGACTTGTACAGCAGAACAAGTCTTACTAATCACTTTTACTTTTTTTCCACCCTTCAGTCTTAATTTTAAAGACCCTGAAGCAGTCAGAGCTCTGACTTGTACTCTCCTAAGGGAAGATTTTGGACTTTCAATTGATATTCCACTGGAGAGACTAATTCCCACAGTTCCCTTGAGACTCAACTATATTCATTGGGTAGAAGATCTGATAGGTCATCAAGACTCTGACAAAAGTACTCTCCGAAGAGGAATTGACATAGGTATTTGGTTTAAATTCTCTTTTGGATAAACATAAATTTCGTAAATTTATGTAAGGTCAAATTCAATGTAAACATCTCTTCTGGGTAATTGTTGTATGAAAGAAAGTGGTTACAGATATTACTGTTCTTAAATGCTATACCTGGCTTTTTCTGTCAGCAGTTGTCAGCATCACACAGGAAGCATAGGGATAAGAGAAGTGCAGGATGAAAGTGAAGCTCTCGTTTTCATTGTTTGCAGGTTACCATGTTGATAATCTTCTAGTGGGTATTTTTACTCTGATTAATTTTATTAGTATAGTACTATAGTCCACATTGAAGTTTTTGGGTGATAGTCATTTAATAAAAGATCACATGGGCCCTGAATACTTTGAGGAATCTCTTGGATGATTATTAGTAGAGGGTATTGAATCCAAAATTAAAGGAAAGAAGCCATTGCCTTGGACCCTCCCTGGTGCCACAAAGGTTTAAAGTGCAGCACTATGAAGCTCTCTGCAGCCACAGCACCACTAAATCTATCCCTAGCTCTGGCCAGGAACCTCAGCCACATGGTATAGCAGACTTCTCCTGTGTCTTTTGTCTTAAAAAAAAGTGAGAGAAAGAAAGAAGTTATTGCATTATTAAAGTAAGTGGTTCTCTTAAATGAACTTCTATAATTGAAAAGACTTTCTGTTTTGGTTCTTTGAGAGTAAGTCATAGATATAGAAGGAAGTGAAGCCAGGACTTGTTTATAATCATAAATATAAGCTTTCATAGCCAATGTTTTCATTTAATAGGTTAAAACAGTTTTTCAATCTTTTGGTTTTTATTAGTCCTTTATAGGAAAAAATATTAAAAGCTTTTTGAGTCCATTTCTAGATATAATTAACAAAAAATATAATTTCTAGATAAGTAGCATTTAAAATTTTCCATTTGCATTTCCATTTTTAATCCTCATTGTATGACCTTTTCAGTAGCATTTATTGACCCTTTCCTTTTTCCTCCAGGCACTCTCTTCTCTTGTTTTCCTAATAGATTCTTCTGGTATTCCTCACTTATTTCTTGTTTTCTCCTCCCTCTTTTAGACTCATTATTTCTGTGTGTGGCCATTGGATCAACATTGAGAATCTGTAAAGCTTAGTGTTTAGCTGTTTGCTTATTTAATTCCCTACGTCAAGGCAATTTCATCAACATCTGTGGCTATTTTCCACCTGCATGCAAATACTACGTACTTAAATCCTTTACCTCAGATTATTTTTCTTGAGCTACAGTCCCATATGTATGGAAATTTGGCTATCTAAAAAACATCTCACACTTTGCCAGATCTAAGTCCACATTGATAATCTATCTTTCTAATCTTGGTTCTCTTCCCTTGTTACTTATTTCAGTAAAACTACCACAGCCCACCCTGTCATTTTTGATAATTACTTCTCCCCATTCTCACTGAGAAAGCCTGTTACCATTTCCTGTAGGTTTTCTCTCTTAAGTATTTTGTAAGCCATCTGATTTTCTCCATTGCCACTGTCACCATCTCAGTCACTGTCATCTCTCCTGATCTGCAGAATGGCCTCTCAACCACTCTTGCTTCTGTTCCACTCTCCAGAATGTATGTAAAAGCCCCTATCTAATGTCATCTTTACTATAATAATTTCTTACTAGTTCTACAACTTAAAAACCAAACCTTGACTTGGCCAAATAGAATTTCCATTGTCTGGTCCCTGCCCTCTTTAGGTATCTCTAAGCTTCATCTTATGTGCTTCTCTTCCTTGTTTTCTGCACTTATCTTTAGTTCTTCTAATCCGTGTGTCATGATTTCAGGCCTCGGTACATGTTGTTTCCTTTGCTTTGAACTTTCCTATTTTCAGCTGTTAGTTCTCATTATACTGTATTTACCAACACTGATCTTAATATTCTCCAGAGAGCCTTTTTTTTTTCTTGAGAGCTCAAGTTCCTGGCTTGTGAACTTTAGAAAACCACGTTTCTTTATGCCATTTTTTAAGTTTTTGACTACACATTCTGGTTGATTTAATGACTTTCTCTGCCACTAGAGTGCAAAGTGCAGAGCCTATTACTTTTTTGTTTACTATCCCAAGACCTAGCAAAATGTCAGGTATGTAGTACGTGTTCAGTAAATAATTTGTTGGATTAGTGATAAATAAATACATCATTATTTCAGCATTCACAGTTCTGTGAACACCCATATGAGCTAAACAAAATTTAAAAATAATGGGGCTTACCAAAAGCATCTGCTTTTTTATATTTATGGCAGAAGATTGACTGATGGATTATATTAAAAGGCTTGAGGATCCAGTTAGTACTAATTTATTTTAATTATGCCCCACAACTTCTAAAATAACACTTGGGGATATAGAAGGTTAATGGATTTTAGCTCTTCACAAGGGGCATTTTTGCTAAAATCACATTCATTCTAATTAGGGTTTTACATAAATTCTTCCCCCAGACTCTCAGTTTGCTCTAATTCTATGATTATACTCTTTATTTATCATTCCAAGGATTATTACCCATTTAAAAATGTCATTCATCTTTCTGAGGGGATTAAGTTGTTAGAATCCAAAGGTCATAAGAATTGAGATATTTGATTTTCTTCTAAGTATACACCAGATCTACCTGATCTTTGGGTATCTGAAAGAAAGTGTACTTTTTTCCTTTTCTTTTTAAGTGAAATTGAAGTGTGGAGAGGCACATGAGAATTAAGGGCCTGGTGTCTGGCTTAGATTTTTTTTCCCTATACAATTGAAAATGCTACCTAAGTTTTCTTATTTTGAATGACTTTGGTTTATCTATATGACTAGCAGGGACTAAATAATTGTGACTTCTGCGAGGAAGTCACTTCTTCCCTCATCACCCCTTTATCACTTCTTCCCTCATCACCCCACACATGGCCAAAGAACTCAATTGTCTACAGCATGAGGGCCAAGATGCTATTAGGTAAACATTGATAGGAAATGCAGCAATTACCTTGACTGGCAAGTAGGTTAAATGTTCTGGCCATCAGTAGTTGTATCCTTTTCTAGCTTATTAAGAAAACTTAATAGCAAGTAGTAAGATGATCCTGGGTTTCCTCTGGGTTAGAAGTATTTCTAGCTTCTATTTCTTCCTGCCATATCCTTAGAAGGCTAGACTGGCACCAAGATGTGGTCAGGGGAGAGCTGGGCAGGAGTGGCTGGTATGGGGTGGCTGCTGTAGGCCTTTGGGAGCAACACAACCTTTTTCTCTTGAATATGTTCTTTCAGATCTTTTTGACCAGGATTAGTCAGTAGTCATAAAAGCACTAATTGTGATTACTATGTAGGTTAGAACCAAATCCTAGTTGTCAGAAGAGTGAAGTTTGACTGGAGCATTTACTTCTGAATTCTTCCTTGAAATTATGGTAGGATAAGCCAGTGACTGGTGTTTTAGATCAAAATCAAGTATCTTTCCATGTGTCTCCACATACTAGGTTGTTGTAAAAGTCATGATGCATTTTTTTCTATGCTTTTCAAAGAAAAAATATGTCATGACTTTTCCAACAACCCAATAGTGTATACGTGTGTGTGTGTATGAAATGATTCTCATATTTTTTTAAAGCCTTATTTCAAGTACCAACTTATAACTATGTGGGGACTTAGGTATTTTTATATAAAATATATTTTATTTTATTTTTATATAAAATTTTTATGTCCTGTGTATTTATTTCTGCTTTTGGTGAATGGGATGGTACATTGATCTATTTTAAGGTTATTACTGAGGTGTTTTAACATATAGCATTTATTTATATTAAATCAAGGGTTTTTTTTTGTAAGGTTTAAAAGATTTCATGTATGGTAAGTTTTTACAAATTTCAGGTAATCAGTCATGTATTACTTGACCACCAGTCAGTTATACACACTTCACTTTACCAATAACAATAGAAAAGTAGAGAACAATAAAGTTTCTATCCTCTAGGATAATTGTATCTAATTAAAAGACTGACATGCTTGAAATGATTCAAAAACCAAGTAGCTAGAGTGTATGTACATGATCAGCTTGTGAAACTTTTGTAATTACAGGAATTTGAAGAAAATGGTATTTTTGCTTTTTATTCTCATCTGTTCTTCAGGAGTATGCAGTGTTTTGAATTTTTGTTTTACTAGGTACTGGAGCATCTTGCATCTATCCTTTACTTGGAACAACCTTGAATGGCTGGTATTTTCTTGCAACTGAAGTAGATGATATGTGCTTCAACTATGCAAAGAAAAATGTGGAACAGAATAACTTATCTGATCTCATAAAAGGTTAGCTTTACAAAATAAATACCCCTTTCAAGCTCAGCTTTTAAACTATCTTTCTGACTTAGTACATTGTTACTCTTAGCTTAAATATACAAACTTTGTTAATTAAAAATATCTGGTACATTGGGTTTGCTGAAATAGGGTAAATGCAGTTGATTTTTATAATTTGTGGATCTGTATTTATGAATTTGTCTACTTGCTAAAACGTGCCTACTTGGGTTTGTTTTTTTAACTCCAAAATCAATATTCAGTATTGTTAATGTGTTTTTTTTTTTTTTTAAAGATTTATTTATTTGTGCATACAGAACTGGGGTGCAGGCCAGAGACTCAGGGGCGGCGAGAGGCCTCACCAGAGACAGAGTGGGGTGCAGAACAGGCAGATCGGTGAAGTACACTGCTGAGGGGAGCAGCGGGCGGGCCAGGAGAGGTCTGCCACGCCACGTGGTCACCTCCAGGGCAGGCGGGAATCGAACCCACGCGGAAGCGGCTCTAGATTCTCAGTGCCGCGCCTCAACCCGCTGCGCCACCAGGGAGGGCCCGTTAATGTGTTTTTTAGTTAATCAACTCTTTGTGCATAACGTAATTGAATATTTATCCAAGTTTGCAAAAGATAAGAATAAAGAGCACTTTCATTTTGGAAGTCATATCAATTAGGAAGCTTCTGATATCAAGATAATCTTTGGTATATTTTCTGTGCATGGCCTACTCTGATATTATTACTTCAAAAATCTTGCAACTTTAAACAGTAAACAATATATTATAGTTTCTGTGGGCCAGGAATTTGGATGTGAACCTGATTCAGCCTTTTATGAAGTTGCTGTCATCTAAATGATAGATTTGCTTCCAAGGTGGTTTACTTAATGACTGTTAATAAGAAACAGTTCATTGCCATGTGGTTCTCCACAAAGCTACTTGTGCATCCTTACAGCATGTCAACTGTCTTCTCCTTGAGCTGGTAATTGAAGAAATAAGGGGAAAGAGGAAGCCATATCACCTGTTATAACCTAGGGCACCCTGTCATTTCCAATATTTTCTATTTGATAAAAGTGAGTGCAACCTGTTTTCAAGGAGAGGGAATTAAGCTCCATCTCTTGATGGCTGCCCTGATGTAGGGGTTAAGTCTCAGTGCTATCAAGCTATCTTGATAACCACTGTGGCATAAGTTCCATCCCTTGTAAGAGAGCTAACCCATACATGGCACAGGCAGAGCTCTCCAGTCACACCCACTGCTCCCCTCAGCAGTATTTTTTAATAGATCCACCTATTCTGTTCCCTACTCTGTCTCTGGTGAATCTTCTCACTCCTCCCCAGCTCCACTCCCCAAACACACCTCTGGCATAACCCTATTCTTCTATGCACAAATCAATCTTAAATAAACTCTACCTTTTGAAAGGACTTGTGTCACAGAATTGATGGATCTATTTGAATACTACCACAGCTTTCTTGCTAGTTCAGTTACTGTTTTTTCTCCTAGTGGTGAAAGTACCACAGAAGACACTCTTGATGGATGCTCTTAAAGAAGAATCTGAGATAATTTATGACTTTTGCATGTGTAACCCTCCCTTTTTTGCGAATCAATTGGAAGCCAAGGTAAAATATCTTTTGCTTTAAAGTAATTAAATATCTAAGTTTGCAAAGATGAGAGTGAAGAGCACTTTTATTTTGGAAGTTGTATCAATTAAGATGCTTGTGATATCATGATAATCTTGAGTGGAATATTTTCTGTGCATGATATCCAGTCAGAAGGCATAATGAAAATGTGATAGACATTTTGGGACTACACAAAAAGGTACAAATTTTGTATGTTTAATCGTACAGATGGAAAGTAAAAGTATAAGTAAAAGATCCTTGAAAGGAATACTTATATGAAGTCAGTTGTGTTTTGGTAAAACACAAAAAAATTGGTGATCATACAGCATAAACCTTTAGAAAATGTAATGTTACAGTGATGATCATTTAGTATGGTTTTAAAATACTAAATCTAGCATAATATTGTAAACTTAATCCTAAGTGTTCTTACTCTGAACTAGAGTACCATCAAAGACTTAGTTAAAATTTAAGGTATAAACTTTTCATCAGATTTTTCTTGTTGGTGTTTAGGGAGTAAATTCTCGAAATCCTCGAAGACCTCCACCTAGTTCTGTAAATACAGGTGGTATCACAGAGATCATGGCAGAAGGAGGTGAATTAGAATTTGTTAAAAGGATCATCCATGACAGTTTACAACTTAAAAAAAGACTCAGGTAAGTTGGTCATTACAGCAGGGGAATATTTCCCCCTTTGTAAATCCAAGATGAACCTGTATTACTTAGAGGAAATGTAGTCATATGGTCTGAAGAATAAAAGATTAAAAAAAAATTAGCAGACCTTATAGTCTGGGATGACCCTGTTTCTGAGGATGGTCTCATGCCTTTAATTGGTTTGTGTTTTCCAGTAATCATCTGTACTATAGGTAAGGAAAGGAGGAAAATATCATATGAGTGTATTGCTCATGTTTGAATGGTACTGTGATGGGATAAAACTGATTCACCTGTGACTTTTGATTAGGAAACAGATGGGTCCAGATATGCCCCATGAATCAGAATAAATTTGTCCTAACCCTGGATGCAATTTATGGAATCGGTCTCTCAACCAATGACAAATGTGAGGGATACTGAGCTGTCAGAAAATTAATGAAGGGAAACTGAGCTCACTAACCAGTTCCAGTTGCAGGTTAAGGATATTCCTGTTTAAAAGTTAATTATTTTGGACAACACACCTGTCATTCAGCAGCATATAAGGTACTCAAAAAGAGCTATTTGTCTTGCTTGACTTCTCATCCTGCCAGACGTTGAAATGGTGGATAATGTGGTAGTTCAAAACTAAAGAGACTTTCAACCCTAGCATTTAGCTTTGGGAAATAATACACATAGCAAAATTTACCATCTTAAACATTTTTTTTTTTTAAGATTTATTTATTCATACAGAACTGGGGTACAGGCCAGAGATGCAGAGGGTGAGAGGATTCACCAGAGACAGAGTGGGGAGCAGAACAGGCAGATCGACGAAGTACACTGCTAAGGGGAGCAGCGGGCGGGTCAGGAGAGGTCTGCCACGCCATGTGGTCACCTCCGGGGCAGGCGGGAATCGAACTCATGTGGAAGTGGCTTTAGCTTCTCAGTGCAGTGCTTTAACCCGCTGTGCCACCAGGGAGGGCCACCATCTTAAACATTTTTAAAGCGTACAGTTTAGTAGTGTTAAGTACATTGACATTATTATACAGCTAATCTCCAGAACTCTCCCTGTAAAACTAAAAATGCAGCAACTATTAAACAGCAGCTCTCTAGGCCCCTCTGCCAGGGAGCCCAACCCCTGACAGACACCATCCTCTGTGTGAATGTAACTCTCCTAGGTATCTTATATAAGTGGAACCATACATAATTTGTCCTTCTGTGATTGGTTTCACTGAGTATAATATCCTAGATATTCATTCCATATTATAGGTTGTCAGAACTTTCTTCTTTTTTAAGGCTGAATAATATTAATATTTCATTGTATATAATATACCATATTTTATTTATCCAGTCACCTTTTACTGTGCACTTGGGTTGTTTCAGTCTTTTAGCTTTTGTAGATAATGTTGCTGTGCTGTGCAAGTATCTCTTAAAACTCTGCTCTTAGTTCTTTTGGGTATGTACACAGAAGTGGAATTGCTAGATAGAGATAACTTTGCTTTTACATTTAAATATGTTTAAAACTGCTTGTTTTTCCCCTAAGATTTATTTTATTTATTTATGTCTACAAGAGCTGAGGTATAGGTACATGGGTATGGGGGTTGAGACGATTTACTGGAGACAGAATAGGAAGCAGAACAGGCAGGTCTACTGAAGTACACTGTTCAGGGGAGCAGCAGGACAGACAGGAGAGGTCTGGCTGTACCATGTGGGTTAGCTTCCTGGTCTGGAATTGAACTTCTGCTGCAGTGGCTGCACAGAGCTTCACAGTGCTGAGACTTAACCCCTTGCACCACCAGAGAGGCCCTAAAACTGCTTATTTTAATAAAGGCCAATTCCAAAATCAACACATACCCTGATTTTTTTTAAGTATCTGGAAAGCAGTTGTATTATGTTAGTCTGCTCAGAAAATTTTAGACTGTTGAAACCAAGTGTTAATGCATTTTTGTTTTACATTGAGTTTTTTCAAAGACACATTAGTGTATGAAGAAGAAAGATACTTAAATTATGCTGAGAAGAGCCTGAGAAAGTGAAATAAATTTAAAGTAACAGAATACTGAAACACATGTGAAGAGATAGCTAGCACCTTGTGGCCATTTCAGTATCTGTTGGCTTTTTCAGGGAATTGGAGCCATTCAGGAAAATGAGGAAAATTGTTTACTGGAAACTTTTTTTTTTTTTTTTTAAAGATTTATTTATCCGTGCATACAGAACTGGGGTACAGGCCAGAGGCTCAGGGGCGGTGAGAGGCTTCACCAGAGACAGAGTGGGGAACAGAACAGGCAGATCAACGAAGTACACTGCTGAGGGGAGCAGTGGGCGGGGTCAGGAGAGGTCTGCCACGCCATGTGGTCTCCTCCGGGGCAGGCGGGAATCGAACTCATGTGGAAGCGGCTTTAGATTCTCAGTGCTGTGCTTTAACCCGCTGCGCCACCAGGGAGGGCCTTACTGGAAACTTTTATCACTAAATTTCTACAAAAACATAATTTAAGGGAACACTGATCTAAGAAAGAAAAATTGTTCTATATGTTCCAAGTCTGTCAGTACCTAGTTTTGTGGCAGCCTTTAATTGAATGAAAAGAATGTTTGCTAAGAGTGATAATTGACCACTTCGAGTTTGAAAGCATCCATTGGAAACTTTGCCTGGTTATGATTTATTTAAAAGCGTGGTTAAGCAATCTTGTTCATTCTGTTAGGATCTAGGGAGATTGAGAGGGACTTTTAGAAAGAAAGGAAGAAATGAAGTACTGGGTTTTTTGTTTTGTTTTGTGCTGGAAAGAGAGCAGAGGAATGTTTCATGGAAGAGTGTTACTCACAAATACAGTTTACCATTTCACATGATTTTCATTGTACATATTACTGGTTCATGTTGTCCTATACATCTTAAACATTGACAAAATGTTTGTATCATTATGCCTTTTACAATACTGTGAAAATTGAGTATTTTGAATCTCTAAAAAATAAGTATTGATAAAGTAATATTTAAACTTGCTATCTGCTTTTCTCTTCAGAATTTTTTCCTTCTTGAAACAGTATATAACATTACAGAATAAAGTGAGTTAAATTTATTGAACTGATCTCAAGATGTGTCACCTAGTCATGCACAACAGCAACTACAGTTACCTTTTATACTCAATGGACCTTGCACCTGGAAGCCTGTTGGCTAAAGCTGCCCAACATTTTAGTTGTACAGGTTATAAATTTGGCGCCCAGAGCTGCCTGTGTTTCAGTGCTCGTTCCACTGCCCCATGCAGCTCCTGCACCCTAGCTGCACTTTCACTTCTAAGTAGATAGCCTTTCTGTTACTGGTGCAGACTTACAAAGTGCTTTACCTGTCACTTTGTCTGTGACGTGAGCTTAATATAAATTTATTTTTTAGTCACCTAACCCAAATAAATTAATAGGCTCTGTTGAATTCTTCATAGCCTGAGTTCCACTCTTGTGGGTTTTTTTTTTTTTCCATGAACCAGAAATCTGAATCTGAATTAAGTTACAACTTAACACAGCTTTTCCCCATTCTCACTCTTTTCATACCTCCCAGCCCCCATGCCCAGCTGCTGGCTTTGTGTATGTCTACTGTTGGTATTCAGAGACCCCGTTCCAATTAAGCTATCTGAATAAGTCTGCTCATACCAATAAACAATTATTGAACTCTATCAGAATGTCTGAGACCTGAGACCAGCTCAATTCTAACACTGTCTATCCTGAGGCAATGTGAAATTCCACAGGTTCAAGACTCAGTCTTTTAAGACACCATCCTTTTCACTTCAAACTTCATCCACAAGCCTCATACAATTACCTGCATTTCTGAGCCACGTATAGATCAGAGGTCTGCATAATAACCCCCTCCTCAGATTTAAAATTCAGATCATTATCTGTGCTTTTGATCCACCAGCTATAAAACTGAGATTCCCAGGACACTCATCTCAGGTTTAAAAGGCACACAGCTCAGGAAATCCACTCACTCATTAGATCCCTAATTTATTACAAACGATAGAAATCAATAGCCAGATAGAAGAGATGAATAGGACCTGATGTGGGGAAAAGGCATAGAGCTCCTCTGCCCTCTCCAGGCATGCCATTCTCCTCAGATCTTCATGTGTTCACTAGTCTGGAAGCTCTCTGAAATCCCTCCTTCAGGACTTTTATGGAGGTCTTACGACATAGACAAGACTGATTAAATCTTGGAGTCTCTCCAGGAAGTGAGGGGAATGGGACTGAAAATTCTACCCTCTATTCTAGTTGGTTTCCCTGGCAACCAGCTCCTTCCTTTAGTGTCTTCTGAAGTTACTTTCATTAACAAAACAACACTTAAAAAATGTCTTTTACAGGGGTGTGCTGCTGAGATCTTGAGACAGGAATTGTAGTCGAAGATCAAATATGTATGCGAAATACGTTTTGATCATCTAAGTGACCAAACATTTCTTTAAAGTTACAAAACCACACTATATTATTCACATAGTTGGTGATGGGCAGTAAACTGTATAATCTGGGCCTTTTGAATGTGAATCTTTGATTTTTAAATTTTGTTTTCTTGTTGATAAAGTGGGGTGATAATAACTACCTCATTCTCATGTGGTGGTCACAGAATTAAATGATACATATTTTTTAAAAAGACTTTATTTTTGCATGGGAGAATTGGGGTGTAGGCCAGAGGTGTGAGTGGTGAGAGGATTCACCAGAGACTGTGGTTTGCTATAGCTTGATAGCACTGTCTTTAACCCATGCACCACTAGGGAGGCCCTGAAAGACTACCCCATTCATTTATTACTTTGAATTTACAAATGTTAATATGCATATAGGATGTGAAATACGAGCTAGATGTTACATATAATTACTATTTATAATTTTACTTCTTAAATAGTTTAATTACAGTTACAGAAAATCAAAAAACATTGATCCCAGCATTCTGACACAACTGTTAGCTTATTTTGGATGTGTTGTATTTTTTTTTTATTCTAATGAGTATAATCATGAATACAAATAATTTTGTTTTCTGCTTCAGGTTTTTTGTTCTTAGGTTTCTGTGT